TCTCGCCGATCTTCCAACTGACGCCGAAGCCGCACCAACGCAATCAATGCTCCCACCCAAACCAAAGAGAGTAAAAAAGGCTCAGCCTAAGGCCAAGGCTACAGATGCCGAGGCTGAGGATGCTTTGCCGATTTCTAAACTAGCAGAAAGCAAAAAATCAGCCTCTACTTCAACCAAGAGGTCTGCTGAGGGCCAACCCTCAGGGTCTACACAATCAAAGCGGCCAAGGTCATCGTCTGCGACGACCTCGGCTTCGAAGAAGCCCGACGTCCCCTGGGCCCCTGATCTCTCCCTGGAGGATAGGCCCATTATGGCTAGTGAAAGTGCTGACGACATTAATGTTGCTGTCGCCCTTAGCACTGCGCTTCTTTTACCAAATGACCTGGAGCGAAATGGCAAGCTTAGTGAGTATGAAAATTACGCTCTTATGCTCCAACACTCCGCGCAAGTAAGTATTTCTGTTTGTATTTGTGTTTTTTCCTTCTGTTTCTGTTTGAGAAAATTTTCTGACACTTCTGTTTTCATTCAGGCTATCCAACATGCCCATTCATTTTCAATGCAATCGTTTAAGAATCTTCAAAGATTGGTTGATATGAAGAGGGAAGCAACTTCAATGAAGAGAGAGATAAGGGCCCTTGAAGCAAAAATGAAAAAATTGGAGGATCAGGCTGAGGCTGCAACGAAAGTCCAAACTTTAGCTCTTAAGAAGGCCGAGGCTGCTGAAGCCGTTAAAAAAGTAGCTGAAGCCGAGAAAAGAGAGGCTGAGGCTAGGAAGGCCCAAGCGGAGAAAGAACTCCAGCAGGCTCTGGCCATCAAAGAGGCCGAAGTCAAAGAGGCCGATGAAAAGGCCTATGCTCAAGGCATGGCCGACGTCGCAGAAGACTACAAGCTTCAAGTCAGGCAGGCATGCAACAGGGGATTTTCCCTTGGTTGGATGTCCTTGATAAAGAAGCTTGATCTTCCTGCTAACTCGCCATTGCGCCAGGCCGACGCTATTCCTTTACCATTTCCTCCTCCACCTCCTGAAGGTGAATTAGAGTCTGAGGCCGATGCCGTGGATGAAGATGAAGAAAAAGATGAAGGGTGATCTCTACTACTTATATACAACATACCATACCCCGTAGAGGATATAAGTATAATAAGAATGAAGGTCACCCTACATCTTTATCTTCATCTTCATCCACTAGGCCCGGCCTCAATCTGATTCACCTTCAGGAGGAGGTGGGAGGAAATGCGTAAAGGGAATAGCGTTCGCCTGGCGCAATGGCGAGTCAGCAGGAAAGACAAGCTTCTTTATCAAGGACATCCAACCAAGGGAAAATCCCCTGTTTGCATGCCTGGCCTTGACTTGAAGCTTGTAGTCTTCTGCGACATCGGCCATACCTTGAGCTGGCCTTCTCATCGGCCTCTTTGACTTTCGGCCTCTTTGATGGCCAAGAGCCTGCTGGAGTTCTTTCTCCGCTTGGGCCTTCCTAGCCTCAGCCTCTCTTTTTCTCGGCTTCTAGCTATTTTTTAACGGCTTCAGCAGGCCTCGCCTTCTTAAGAAGCTAAAGTTTGGACTTTCGTTGCAGCCTCAGCCTGATCCCCAATTTTTCATTTTTGCTTCAAGGGCCCTTATCCTTCTCTCTTCATTGAAGTTGCTTCCCTCTTCATATCAACCAATCTTTGTAAGATTCTTAAACGATTGCATTGAAAAATGACAAATGGGCATGTTGGATAGCCTGAATGAAACAGAAGTGTCAGAAAATTTTTCTTCAACAGAAACAGAAGGAAAAAAACACAAATACAAACGAAATACTTACTTCGCGGAGTGTTGGAGCATAAGATGCGTAATTTCATACTCACTTAAGCTTGCCATTTCGGCTCCAGGTCATTGGTAAAAGAAGCGCCAGCTGCTAAGGGCGGACAGCCACATTAACGTTCAGCACTTTCACTAGCCATATGGCCTATCCTCCAGGGAGAGCATTCAGGGCCCAGGGACGTCGCGGCATTCTTCGAAGCCGAGGTCGTCGCAGACGATGACCTTTGCCGCTTTGATTGTGTAAGACCCGAGGGTTGGCCCTCAGCAAAACCTCTTTGTTGAAGCAGAGGTGATTTCTTGCTCTCTGTAGTTTAGAAATCGGCAAAGCATCCTCAGCCTCGGCATCTGTAGCCTTGGCCTTAGGCTGAGCCTTTTTTTACTCTCTTTGGCTTGGGTGGGAGCCATTGAT